GAATCAAAATGCGCAAATTTCTACTCGTGAACGGTTTAATAACCATGAAATTCGTCAACGGGTTTTTATACCTCGTTCAGATAACGCACCAAATTTAGCAGAATATTACACCAACGTTATGAGTATTATGTCAAATCTCACTGACAGGGTTGAATCTTTATCCCGTAGAAATGACCTCATTCAGATTGAGTTATCTGGTGAAAATGTTTCCCATAATGTCACATTTCACGTCGATGAAAACCCGAGCAACATTTTATCTGAATTTACAGAATTTCTAGATCATTTAATTCAATCCGACGGACAGATAGATTCAGAAAATGATTTAGAATTCATCATTCAAATTGTTAAAAATCCGAGGGGAGGAATCAAGCGGAAAGCTGAAAAGTCTTTGGACACAGAATTAATAAATAAAAAGAAAAAACATCTAGTCATCGTCCCTGAACGAAATGATCAATTGTGCTTTGCAATTAGTTTACTGCACACTCACAATCCACATTTAACAGATGACGAGGCTGTAAATTTAGCCAGAACTTTACAACGTCAAGCCGGCTTTACAGATCAGACACCTATAACATTTTCTGATATTTGCAAATTCGAGAATATTCTGAACCGAAAAAATTGTTTTGTTTTTTCTCATTTCCGATCATACAGCCATTCAAAAATTTGAAACAACATTTTCAGACAGAACTAGRCCGCTTTTTCTCTTTCTGTTTTACAATCATTATTACGGTATCAAAAATATCAAAGCTTTCTTGGGGTGTAAATACTTCTGCAACTTTTGTTTTACTCAGTTAATTAATTTACACACACACACAGTTGTGGAGGGTTTTGTCCAATCTGTAACGATCCGCTCTGTCCCAGTCAAGACTTATGTCCAGTGAAATGTACATCGTGTAACAGAACKTGCCGTAATCAGGCATGTTTTTTAAGACATCAAACTGCTGTTTGCAGACCCGTGGCCCAGAAAAATGTCAGTAACTGTGAGCTGATAAAAAAATGCCTTAAATGTCAAAAATTTTATCGCATTCCCATATCTAAAAAAGAAACTCCGCACATTTGTGCACAGCGAAAATGTAGCGTTTGTCATCAACCCATATCGTTAGGAGCAGACGTGAYGCTCGGAAGCCATCGTTGTTTCATTCAACCTTGTCCAGTCGATGACCGTGTGAATGATAAAATCATTTTTTATGACCTTGAAACATTTACAGATGAGCAAAATTTACACGTGCCATTTCTGGTGTGCAGCAAAAATGTCGCAGGTTCTGAGTGGTCTTCTTACRGTCTTGATTGCGTTCATAATTTTATTATGCATTTCAGAAGGCCTTTGTTTCGGAATTATACGTTTATTGCACACAATGCTCGTGGGTTGGATTCCTATCTCATCCTGAATGTGATGGTGAAGCTTGGAATAAAACCGGCAATCGTAATGCAAGGCAGTAAAATATTGTGCTTCACCGAACCTGATTTTAACCTAAGGTTTATAGACAGTCTTAGTTTTCTCGGCATGAAACTGTCAGCCATGCCCGAGGCTCTGGGTTTTTCAAATAGYTCAAAAGGTTTTTTTCCACACAAATTTTCCTCCGAGCAGCATTTGAAATATGTAGGTGCATTTCCTCCACCTGGCGATTATGGGGTGGAAAAAATGTCACCTRCAGAACGAGAGAAATTTGACACTTGGTACACGCAAGTGTCTCAAAAAACATAAAAGAAGCTCTTTTTTATTGTAGAAACTACGTTGAAATTCTTTTCCGAGTGAAGAAATTTATAGTTTAGTACTGATTAAATACAACACATAGTTAGGGTTTTCTATTTTATAATACCTTTATAATA